GGGCTGAGCCGGCATCCGAAGGGCTCTCGCTGCAAGCGGGACAGCGCCAGGCCAGAGGCACGCGTGTGTCTCCGGCACGGTCTGCCCCACTTACCGCAAATCATGTCGGCGTACTCGGCCAGGTCACAGCTCATCTCTGCAGTCGGGAGGCCCACCTGGAACAGAGGGGGCTGCCAGCTCGGCTCCCGCACGGCGAGAGCCCAGCAGCCCGCGCTGACCTCCGGCCGGGCACTGTGGGGAATGGCGAAGGGGAATTCGGGCACTAGGCTGCTCCCCCGTCTCCTGGCAGGGGAGAAACAGTAAGTGGGAACAAACCTGAGCGGGGTGGGCTGTGGGCAAGGAGCTCAAAGTGGAACGGGAACCCCGCTTTCACGGGAGACGGTTTCTAACGCCGCGCACTGAGCCAACTACTTCTCGCTCGGACAACGTACCTTCCCCAAGAGCTCCTCAAATTCCGGTGACCATTCCTGCATGAGGGTCTCGATGTCGGGCATTGGCCTGCCAGGGAAGAAGAGAATGTGAACATCAGCATCAGGCACAACTGAAGGAGCTTCCGACTGCCGGACCGCTGGAAACAGGACAGGCTCCGTTTTCATGAGCTGAGAGGGATCTGCGCGTCTGCGGAGCGCCATTTATCGGCGCAAGCCTACGCGCACCGAGACGCGAGTTCCGTCTGCTGTGAAACTAATTCAAGTTGCAAAAAAAAAGCAGGGAGGGAAAGCGAGCGTCCTGCACACAAGCGTGGTACGACGACCCTGAAAATCAGCACGTCTTCTTGCGGAGAGTGGAGTTCAATCCAACTTGGCAGCGAGTCACACCAGTTCCGTTTAGTATCTTCATCAGTGATCTGGACGAGGGGATCAAGCGCACCCTCAGTAAGTCTGCAGGCAACACCGAGTTGGGTGGTGGGAGTGTGATCTACTGGAGGGCAGGAAGGCTCTACAGAGGGATCTGGACAGGCTGGATCAAAGGGCTGAGGCCAGTTGTGTGAGGTTCAACACGGCCCAGGGCCGGGTCCTGCACTTGGGCCACAACAACCCCGTGCAACGCTCCAGGCTGGGGGAGAGCGGCCGGAAAGCTGCCCAGGGGTGCTGGTCGAGAGCTGGCTGAGTCTGAGCTAGCAGTGTGCCCAGGTGGCCAAGAAGGCCAAGAGCATCCTGGCTTGTATCAGCAATAGCATGGCCAGCAGGACTGGGGAAGTGATTGTCCCCCTGTACCGGGCACTGGTGAGGCCACACCTTGAATCCTGTGGTCAGTTTTGGGCCGCTCACTACAAGGCAGACATGGAGGTGATGGAGCGTGTCCGGAGAAGGGCAGCAAAGCTGGGGGAGGGTCTGGAGCACAAGTCTTACGAGGAGCGGCTGAGAGAATGGGGGTTGTTCAGCCTGGAGAAAAGGAGGCTCAGGGGAGACCTTCTCACTCTCTACAGCTGCCTGAAAGGAGGTTGTAGCCAGGTAGGGGTCAGGCTCTTCTCCTAAGTAACAAGCGACAGGACGAGAGGAAATGGTCTTAAGTTGTGCCAGGGGCAGTTTAGATTGGATAGCAGGAAAAATTTATTCACCAAAAGGGCTGTCAAGCACTGGAACAGGCTGCCCGGGGCAGTGGTTGAGGAACCATCCCGGGGGGTGTTCAAGTGGGGCACTTAGAGACGTGGTTTAGTGGTGGGCTTGGCAGCGCTGGCTCAACGGCTGGACTTGATGATCTTAAAAGTCTTTTCCAACCTAGCTGATTCTGGGATTCTCCCGCTCGGAGATATGTTGGTAATTTTGCTCAGCACTCCCAGACGGTGCCGCCAGCCTCCCCGGACACGCGGTTGCGCTGTCCGAGCGCGCGCGAAGCAGAGCGGACGGAAGAGCTCACCTGGTGTAATGGACCGTGGCGGGAGGTTTGCAGCGGTGCAGTTCGCCGATACTTTCAATCCAGCTGTCAATGGCTTTGGGGTTCTTTTCTGCGTTCTCCAAACTCTTCACTTTTATCTGCTGCTAAAAACAAAAAACATAAACCTGGCAGCACGTTGTGGTGTTCTGGGGCTCTTTCACCCCGTGTTTGCTCCTGACTAACCACGCGTTTTCTCCTTTCTATACCGACCGATTTCTGCAGCAGAACACGCCAAGTAAAACCAGGTAGTGACAACCAAAAGGAAACAAAGCTTCAGCTGGAGGAAACGGATCCAAAGGCTGTACCGCGGCTTGCCTGAAGCAAGGCTTAGATCCCCTGCACTTTAAAGCTACGGGCTGAGGAAAAAGGTGGGTTTTTCTGCTTTTAAAGCCAAATTATCAGTTGTGCTGCGACAGCGTGGTCACACAGAGACAAAAGCAAGAGTTCAAGGCCAGGTTGGATGAGGCCCTGAGCAACCTGATCTAGTTGGAGATATCCCTGTTCCTTGCAGGGGGGTTGGACTAGATGACCTTAGAAGGTCCCTTCCAGCCCTAACCATTCTATGATTCTATGATTCTACACAGTGTTTCTGCTGCAGTGTTTCACAGCAAAGGTGACCTCCCCCTCCGCGGCTCACTGTGATGTTGTGCTGCTTGGAGTTCTCCGTCAGCCAAAGGGAGAGCACGGTGGGATCCGACTGCTTGGTCGACGGCTCGTCCAGGACCAGCAGGCCCAGGTTATCAGGCTTGCCGTCCGGACGGGGAACCTGCAGACAAAGACACCCTGTTTTCTACGGGAGCCCAAAGCAAGGGAAGTCGGGGTTATTTTGTACAGTTGGGGTTATTTTGCCCTCTAGAAATCAGCCCCTGAAGGGAACTGGGAGGTGTGGTTTCCTGAACACGAGTTGTTGGCCTGAAAAGCACAAGGTGTCGGACAAGGGAGAAGGCAGCCCTCACCCCAAACGGCGTGTGTGCTGTCTGAGAGGTGACCGACCTGAGCGGGCTTTCCCAGCTCTCCAGAACGCCACCTCCAACAGCGCAGGGCAAGGGGACGCGCCGCTACGGGGACAGAGCGGCCGCCGCTGGGCTGTGCGGCCCGGCTGCCCCTCTCACACCGATGCCACGCTCCGTTTGGCACGTGCAGGGGGAGGATCCTGAAGCAATTGTACCTTTAGGAACGCGTCAATGTCTCCAACTGCTGGAATAAAGTCTGGAATAAAAGGCTGCAGTTTGTGCTCGATCTCTATTGTTTTGGGAGTGTACCTGGAAAAAAAACACCACAGCGCGGCTGACTACGAACGGTCCCGCAAAACTTGGCACGAAGGGGAGTCAGGAGCGGGCTAAAACCCCTGCAACTCACCTCTTGATGTATTCAAAGAGTTCTTTGATTTCAGAAGATACTGGCAGGTAGTCATAATCTGCTAGATCGAAGTCCCTGAGGAAAGGAAGAGAAATGCAGGGAAAGATTAACGTGCGGGAGGTTCCCTACCAGCAGGAACTGGGACCCGACTGTCCAAGACAATCATGAAGGAAGCTGAAACACGAGGTTGTTGGTCCTCTCTCTCTCTTGTACATGAAAATCAGTACTGGGCCACGGTTTGCCTTGGGCATCCTAGCCAAAAAAAGCACTGGACTGATGGACAGTTGCTTGTGGTTAGCGAGATGTGTGTAGGGGACGTCGAGGGGCGGGTAAGTGGCCTGCACGGAGGCAGTCGGGACAACAACTAGGGTGCTCGGAAATGGTTTGGGAGTTGAAAAGAGTGGCAAGAGAGGAGGACTACCAGGAGATGAATGATGTGCTTGAGACTTTCCTTCTCTTTCTTGGGCGTTGGCTGACAGCCAGGGCCGGAGCAGAGACAGGAGGCTGGCCGACACCTTTGTCTCACACCGCAGGGTTGTTCCCAGCTGTGCCCTTCCTTGGTACAGCAAAGCAGGGCACGAGGGTTGTCCCGGGAGCCCCCCTGGGTGGCTGCAGATCATCGCACGAAGGAACTTCTTTCTCCTGAGCCACCCAGCTCCAAGGAGGAGGAAGAAGCTGCCCGTCCCGATGCCCACAGCCGCGCTCACCCTCG